AGAGATGGTCAGTTTTCTAATTTTTAAAAAGCAATAGTTGTAATTCTGGAAGGAAAAAGACCAACAGCATATAATAGGGTTGCTGGATATCCAGGTTCTTAAACTAAAAACAAACATTTAAAATATGAAAGTGTTGTGGCTAGCTATTTTTCATTTTAACAATAGCTTTAAATTCAAATAGATGAAATTAGTTGATTAAGAATGTAACTAATATTTTTTAAAACTCTTTTATAGCTCTTCATAAAATATAAAAATTATTTGTTTAAAAAGTGTGAATTGTCTCTTAAGCTTTATGAATGACAACTTTATTTCCCCCTCTACATTTCATTAACTAAGATTGAACCAAAGATAACGCTGCTGTTGTCAAATCTTTCCTTATTGTCATCTTCCTATTGGGTAAAGCACAAGAGGAAAATAAATCATATGACTCAAGGCATTGATACCCTTTAATTAGTCTTCAGTTATTAACTTTGGGTCTTTACAGTTGAGGGGCAACTCAACCTACTGGCAAGCAAGAGACAACAGGCACAAGGAAAGGTAATTATGTTGAAACATCCAGAGAGAATAATTGCTTTTCACACTAGTTGGTAATAATACCACCAAAGTTATTTTAAAAGTATATTTTCTTCTTTTTAGTCTTTATTATTAAGCCTGAACATATCTTGGCATCATTTTGAGATTAATTTCTAAACTAAACCTTAGATTTTATATGGTATTATGATCAAATTTATTTTTAACTTAACTTTGGGTTAAAGTCAAGGTTTGATACTGGCTAAACTACTGAAGACAATATAAATCGTAAAGAAGAAGGTGCTCAAGACAATGATCCTATTCCTACAGACAAATGGAGAAGGCTAACTTCTCAGGAAGATGGGCAAGTGATAATAATATTGATAGATCCCTTAATTAATTTCAATTTTTTTCTATCTAAATGTCATAATTGTATTTGTTATAGTGTAACTATTGTTTTAAAATATGCCTTTCATATTCTTATGACAGCTGAATATTTCAGCTGTTTCACAAATTTACCAAGTAATGAAGGCAAATTTAAGTGCTCATTAGTTTAAAAGTAACTGATAACTTAAGTATGGTCTTATCGCTCTGATTTCTGTTTATGCTAAAAAGAGAAGCATCACTATCATTTTTTACAGAATGTTTGTGTGTGTTATATAATTCTGTGTGAATTGAAAAGAAGTATGATTCACCATGGACATATTATTGTTTCATCTATAAACTTAAAAGTTAACTAGCTATTGTAATACAATATTGTTGTCTATATTTACAAAAGAAAATATTCTTTCCTGAGTCATCTAGGCAAATTATTTGGTTAGCTGTATTATAATCATCAAATTTGCTAAGAGATTAGATCTTAATTACTCCAACCACAAAAAGAGAAATGACAATTTTGTGATGCCTTAGAGGTGACAATTACCACTACAATGTCAATCACCTAACAATATACAAATGTATCGAGTCAATACGTTGTACACCTTAAATTTATACAATTTTATATGTCAAATATATTTCAACTGAAAAATTTAACTGGCAAATGAAGAATTAGTAAGGAACTTCATCACTTTCAAGGAAACTTGAGTTTGCTACAGGTTGTTCAAATTTGATTCCACATGAATTATTTTCTATCCAATGATGTCCTTTCAGTGGTTCTGAAGTTAATTTAGTAGACAGTCGTCCTAATCATCATTACCTGAGAATCAGAGGCAAATGGAGTCTGATGTGCTCCCTTTTCCCTGATCTGGGCTTTAACTCTGTGACCCTCTTTTGTAAAACTCAGTTCATAGGAAACAAATCTATACACTATCAATAGCTATAAANTTTTTTCAAAATATATTTTAACATTTTCTACTATTATCAACATCTGTGTATTTTGGAGCTGAATCAGAAGGTTAAAGAAGGTAAAACTTTAACCAAAGTGGAGATCATAACAGATGAACTTGTGGATGTGGGATCTAAAATAAACATCAGCCTATTCCTTAGAAAATCATGCATTTTTCTAATTAATATTAAAACCCAAACCTACCTTCTGATTGTCACATTATTATAAAAACCCCAAAGGTTGAACATTCCACTTATAGTAGACACCCTTATCATTTCATCATATCAAAAATAAAGTTGATGGTATGTCAATTATCAGATGAATTGAGGGAAAGTAGACTATATTAAACATTATATTAGGACTCAAAGGACTATTCTAGGAAACAAACACACTTTCAGCTAATCTCTACCACTAAAGCCCTCGGCCTTCTTTCTTGCATTTACTCAATCTTCTTGAGCAAAACGTTTCCCAGTCCTTGAACTATTATAGATGCACTTTTGAGACAATATTTGTAATTAAAAGCAAAAAACTTATAAGCACAAGCAAATGACCCATTAGGATTAGTAACTGTATGCCTGTCATTTATTTTAGGTCACTAAAACTGAATGTGAGCATCTTCCTTGAAGAATCACTCTTCCTGTTAATAAAAGAAAAATAAATGTAATTGAAGTAGCATACAATATTCTCTCATCAATTTCTTTAGTGGTCCTCTTTTGTAAACCCCCAAAAAGAAGATCTTGGTTTCCTATTTTCTAAATGTGCATTACCAGTAGAAATTCAAATTACATTTTAACAAATCTTAATATATGCTTTATTAACTATTCTAGGGAAAGTATGGGGTGTAGAGGTAGCCCTGGAAATACATTAAATAAGTCTATTCAGCAGCGTATGCTGTGTAGTTGTACTGATTATATTAATAAGAGCCAGAGTTCAATTTAATTTAATTCAAAAGAATATCGGATTAATTGTTTCAATTACTTGTTGAATCTGTGATTTATTTCCAGTAGGATATTAAACTTGATGTGTTGGTAAAAGATATAAAAATCAATCAAGTACTGTCCCAAACATCAAAAAAACTGATAATGGGTGAGAGCCTAAAAACAACATTTCTATCATGCTTGTAAGGTTACAAAGTGCTTTTTTTGAATCATTATATCATCAAATCTTTACATAATCTCTGTACAGTAATCATGTTTCTAATGTGGAGAAATGGAAGATCATGAAAGTCCTGTGGACATACAGTCATGGATCTAGTACATGGTGGGAAAGGAATACAAACCAGGCCTGTCCAACTCCTAAGCCTTTGTTTCAACTTCATATTTACTAAAACAATGTCTGAATCCAGGACTCCATGATGGCAGTATGAAAGACTAGTTAAGTCCATCTGTTTTCACTTTATTTCAAGTGGAAAAATCAAACACATGCTAATAAGAGGAACTGCCATCGACCTCCTCCTCTGCTAATCTAGCAGCCTCTCTGCACTGGCGTTGTCTTTCAAAACACATGTTGACTTATACTTCTGACTTGCTTCAATGCCTTGTAAGTCTTCTTATTGCCTACAATATAAAATCCATTTCCCTCTGCATGGCATTCAAGGCCTTCTACACACTAACTTGGAGCTTCTTTTCAAATCCCCTACAACCACCCAGCCTCCCGTACATCCCGGATGTCACACCAATCCATTGCCTTTCCCCACCACTGGCCTTCACGCTCTCACAGCTGTGCCTTTGCTTATGACGCACGCTCTTCATGGAATGTCCATTCCACTGCTTCAATGTGGAAATCCAATTTATCTTTCAAAATGCAAATCCAGTGTCATGACTTTCATTAGAAACTTCCTCCTATCTCTCCAAACAGAAGGAAGCACTCACCACTTTGATCCTCTCCCTCTGCATTTTGTTTCCACTTATTTACCAGTCTTATTATGCTTACCTTCTAATAAACAATTCATTCATATTTCTGTATTCTTCTCGAGGAAATTGTAAGTTCCTGTAGTATCACAATAATATAACTATTCCCCAGTACTTAGCAGAGTAGAAGCTACTCAATGAGTGTTTGATAAATGGAATATATTAACAAAATTTTCAAATTCTTATTTTTCAAAAAAATAATTTTTTATATCTCTGACCTATATCAACATACTAGTTAACAAAAGATTCCTTCTTGTGAAAGAGAAAAGAAACTTCTTAAAACCAGTATTTATATGGCAACAGTTCTCTCTTACTCAGCTA